GAACTGCCCCATAGAGTTTCCAAGGAGCGCCTGGTAGATTCGAACTGCCAATCTTTTGATTAGCAGCCGTAGCTCTTAAACACTATGCCACTCTGTCCTATAGGGTCACTATAAGTGGAATCGACTCGGTGACAATGAGTTTTTTTGATTATGGGCAGGCAGATTTTTTTTTTTTTTTCCAGAAGAGGTGAACTGAGCTGAATATATGTGGATTATTGTGGAATCAAGGAGCCTTGGTGGTGCAGTTTGAACTCACCAGCTACATTCCCTGGGAAAAAGATGCAGCAATCTGCTTTTATAAAGATTTACAGCCTTGGAAACCATGTGGCTCTACTCTGTCCTATAGGGTGGCTATGAGTCAGAATCGACTTTACAATTTTTTTGGGGGTGGTGGTGGTAATGTGGAATCAGGGCTTTTAGTTTCATTATGTTTTTTTACAGTGCAATGTACCCTGCCTGGATAAAGAAAACCCAGATTTAGCCTCAGAAATTTTGTTAACTTTGCTATACAACCTTGTATATTTCACCTTTTTTACAAGCCTTAGTTTCTGCTTCAGTTAAATGATGGGACAAGAATTGCTTTAAGAGCTATAAATTCCCTCCTTAAAATAAAAATTTATGGGAAATTAATACAGAAAAGAGATTAGAAAAATGTGGAAGTATGCTGTTGAAGCAACAATGGGCTCCCACTTGGACGAGCCTCCCATTGTCATCCCTTTCTGACCTCAGGACAGAGCACAGTTTAAAAATCACTTTAGGTGATCTCACACACTGCTTCCATCTCTTGGAAACTGCCAAAGGGAAATGAAAAATTCAATCCATCTCCTAGGAACTGATTTTTCCAGCGTAGCCAACAATACTTAGCTGATTATACATGCCCAATCTTTGAAAAAAAAAGACTTTAAAATTACAGTTGAAAAGAAGGGCCAATCTTGATAAGAAACAGAGTGGCATTATTGACGATGCTGACAAAAAAAAAAAGTGCAATCAGAAAACAATGTGACTCTCCTCTAATCTTTCATGCTGGGTTAAAAAAGAAATCACGAGTCTAGAATGTTAGATGGGTCGCGGTCACCATTTTGTTTTAATCTAATCAAGATGGTGGTGGGTATTCTGGTCTAAGAAATAATTGATAAAGTTTGAAATAGCTGGCTTGCTATAGATTTGACAGCTAATACCTGTTGAAACATGATTTCTTTGCTCTGACTTTAAAACTTCTGATGTGAAATATTCCTCTCTAGATAGCACTCTTTTCTAGGGATGGGATCGCATCCTACATGCTAAAGCATGTAAAACACACAAGCAAGCATCACAAATAGTTCTGGACACTTTAACTTTTTTTAAGTAATAATGCCTCCCATTTGTAATGTTTTTCATTGTTTGTATCAATATTTACTACTTCAGGGTTTACCATGAACGGGGGACTATGCTACACTCTTTATACAATATCACTAATAATCTTCATAACAACCTTATGACAGAGGAATTAAGCCTATTTTACAGATGAGGAAACTGCAGTGCCAGAAAGGCTGAATCACTTCTTTACTGTCACACAGTTAAGTTTGAGGGTAAAATAAACCCTAATTGACTCAAAAATATTTGTTCAGAACCACTGCGCTAAATCATAACTCCTAATGTTTGGATTGTTATACATGCTGATCAACGAAAATGAAGAAACCACGTTTGCTAAAGAGTTTCAAGAATAGGACAAGCATCTTATTTACTGGGGCCTCAGTTTTTTATGTTTAAAACCAGGGGAATGGACTAGAGCAGGGTTTCTCAACCTCAGCACTATTGACATTTTGGGCTACAATTATTTTGTTATGGATACAGGAAATTTAGTAGCATCCCTGATCTCTACCTGCTAGATGCCAGTAGTACCCCCTCCTCAGTTTTGACAACAAGTATGTCTCCAGACATTGCCAAATGTTCCCTGGGGGCAAAATTGCCCCTGTTTTGAGAACTACTGAGCTAGAAGAGTTCTAGGTATCTTCTTTCATCTCTCACATTCTATGATTTGATTTGTGGGTCCAACTTCAGCCAAGAGGATGGGTTTTTCACCACTATGGGCTACCTTCCCAGTGAACCTTTCTCTACATTTACCTCAGCCCATTGAGTTTAGAACTCTGTGAAGCTCTCCAGGTTCAGTTGGCTATAAAGCCTCCACTACTCTGAGTCTTAAATTTATCATCTAAATGCAAATTGGTATGAAAAATAAGGTAGATGGAAGTGAAAAAGAGATCAGATGTTGTCTTTACTAAGTTAGCCTTGCATTAGGCAATTGATTTAGACTCATTTCAAACTGCATTCCTACGAGACAGTTTTATTTATTTATTCATTTTCTCTTCTTAACTAAGGGTACTATATAAGGAAAAACATAACATGAGTTTAAAATGCACTATTCATTTGACAACCTGAGAGAGCAATAATGGTAGGTTGGAATCTATTGACAGATTCCAAAAAGTGCAACCTTGGGCATCGGAGAGAAATGGACAATTTCCAAGACCTCATGGTTTATTGGCTTTCAACAGCCATCCCGACAATTTGAATTATTACAAATATCATATCTTGAGAAAGAAGTGCCTTTGATTAGAGAATAGTCCAAAATGTAACACCACAAAAAGAACCCCCAAAAAAACCCTGTTGCTGTTGAGTCGATTCCCACTCATGGCTCATGTATTATAGAGGAGAACTGCTCCATAAAGCTTTCTTGACTGTCATCTTTAGGGAAGCAGATTGCCAGGCCTTTCTTCTGCAGCACTGGTGAGTGGGTTCAAACTGCCAACCTTTAGGTTAGCAGTCAAGTACAAACTATTTGTGACACCTGGGGACCTTGATTAGAAAATATTCCGAAATCTAATACCAGATCTATGGATGTACAGAAAATATTAATGAGTTGGAAGCTGCCATAGAGTTTTCTCTAAATAAAACATAGTGACAGAGGATATTCATGGTGCATTATCTTTGAAATTAAACTGAAGTTAGAAATATTAACACTTTAATGAAATATTCAATTAATCTTATGGTTAATAGCTGTAGATGGTTTAAAAGTAGCACTGTTCTCTTAGTTCCCTCACTATGAACTACTTACCAAACGCAACATTACACATTACTTTATAAACATTATTTAATAGAGTAGATAATAAAACAAGATATTTTTTTGTTTATTTTTGATGGTCTATGTGAATTTGACTACATGAAAATACATATATAAATATGTATATGCAGAAAGTTCGAAAATAGGCATGTCCTCTCTTGGAGGAAAAGAGGGCCCATTGGGACTGTGTTCAAAGGCTCAAAGCAATGGTTCTCAGCCTTGGCTTCAGATTAAAATAATCTGGGGAAAAATGTGGAACGGAATTTCAAATTCTCAGGAAATCTAGACTTTCTGGAGTCACTGAGGCTGGATGAACCCCTGAAACTATTGCCCTGAGATAATCTTTAAACCTTAAACCATAAACCAAAAATATCTCCTGAGGACTTTTTTAAATCAAATAATAGTCTGGCATTAAAGAATGTCTGCCTTGAACACCATGCTCTTTCAAAGAACTATCTATATGGGATCAAGTTGACAACAGCAACTCGAAAGGTTAGATAGGAAACTTGGGAGACAGTGAGTTTATGTTAACGAGGGAAGAACAATTTGGAAAAGGAGAGTGGGAATGGTTTCACAAGTTGCACAACTTGAATGTAATCAATGTCACTGAACTGTTCATTAGAAATTGTTGAATTGGTGTATGTTTTGCTGTGTATATTTTCAACAATAAAAAAAAAATAATCTGGATAAACTTAAAAAAGTTATGATGTCCAGGCATATGTCAGGACAATTAAATCAGGATTTTTCACAAGGGACTTAGGCTTTAGTAGTTTTTAATGATCTCCAGATCATTCCAGTTGGCACCCCAGTTGAGAACTATTGCCTTAAAGACTCAACAACATTTATACTGTATGGGACTTGTTCTTTGACTATTCCTAGGTTAAGCTATTTAGTGACCTGGTACAGTCAAGCACTTCATTGATTTTAAGTGGTACAGGTGCAAGATATTAAGTAATGTGTTACTTAAGGAGAAAATTATTCCTCTTTTTTTTTCTCCTTCACTTTTCTTTCTGTCCTTCTCATTACTGCAAGAAGAAAGTCTCAGTTTGTTGCTGTCAAGTCTTTAACATCTCTCTAATATCTTTTTATTAAAGAAAAGGCAGACCTCAGGCCAAGAACCTTCATAGGGCAATAGTGTAACCTAGAATTAAATAACACCATTTTATTTTTTCTTATTTATATTTATAGTAATCTTCCAGAATTTTGGAAAGTGAGACTGGTTGGAGTTGATAGAAAATCTCCTTTTTAAATAAAGTAAGTAAATGTAAAGAAATATAAATAATGATACACATTATACTACCATATGGAAAAATCATGAAGGCGGTTGTGAGGTCACTAAGGATTGGACAACACTACTGTTAATGGTGAAGAATATTGAATATAGCATGGACTGCCAGAACAACAAACATATATGTCTTAGAAGGGAGGATGGCGAGACTTTGTCTCATGTATTTTGGATATGTTATCAGGAGGGACCAGTCCCTGGAGAAAGACATCATGCTTGGTAAAGTAGAGGGTCAGCAACAAAAAGGAAGACCCTCAATGAGATGGATTAACACAGCGGCTGCAACAATGCCCTCAAACATAGCAACGATTGTGAGGATGGCACAGGACTGGGCAGTGTTTTGTTCTGTTGTACATAGGGTCGCTATGTGTCAGAACCAACTAGACAGCACCTAACAACAACAACACAGCTGTTAATGGAAAGTGCATCAAAATGTTGGGTCAGAAACTTGGGTCCTGATTCTGCTTCTGACACTAATTATGTGTGTGATTTGGGGAAAATTACTCGTTTTCTTTTCTGGGCCTCAGTCTCTACATTTGTTAAACAAGGCCTTTAACCTCTTTTGCTAGCATTCTTCTATGAGTTAAGAAGAAAGGAGGGCTTGCCCTCTGAATTTACCTTATTGACATCTAGGCGCATCTTCTCATTGTTGGCACTGGCAGCCTTCTCAGCTGCTTTCTTTTGGCGTTGTGGTCCCCTTCCAAAGAAGATGTAGTTAACCAGAGCGTATTCCAGAAGGGCCATGAAAACAAAGACAAAGCACCCCATCAGGTACATGTCAATGGCCTTCACATAGGGGATTTTAGGGAGGGTTTCCCGGAGATGGGTGTTGATCGTGGTCATTGTCAGCACAGTTGTGATTCCTGAAAAAAAATAAGAGTTAAAGTAATAATGTTCCCATTTCTTGATAATTGCTAAACACCCCCTACACTGGGGAAAGAAAACCCCAAAAAAACCTGTTGCCATCAATTCGATTCCGACTCATAGCAACCCTCTAGGACAGAGTAGAACTGCCCCATAGGTTTTCCAAGGAGTGGATGGTGGATTCGAACTGGTCACCTTTTGATTAGCAGCTGAGCTGTTAACCACTGCGCCACCAGGGCTCCTCATAACTGCTAGAAAGGTAAATTATATTAATTCACGGAGCCTATTACATACTGAGCACATAATATGCCTTGGAAATATGCATAAATCCTTAATTTACTGTCAACATTAGTCATATGAGGATGCTTTCTTTAATTATATTTATATATCCAGTGGGGATTCGAAATGTGAATTAAATGCTGTGATAGACAAGTGTGTAGGGTGAGAGTTGAGAATATGGAGGAGTTCAGCCTCGTGGTGTATTAGGGAAGTCAATGAGGGAATGGACACTTCTGAGCTGAGTCCTGAAGAATGACTGGGAGTTAATCAGGCAACCAGGGCCTGGAAGACAAAAGTGCTGGTAGAGCTGAGGACATTGCTGGAGAGAACTTTTTATATAAAGGTTGGCTATGAGGGGTGAGAGTACACAGTTCATTAAAGAAATCTTAAGAAAGTCAGTATAAGTACCTGATAGGACATGAAGGAAGAAGGGTGAGGAGCATTGGAGACTTAAGTATGGGCTGTGTCATACAGAGTAATATATAAGGAGCCAAAGAGGGAGGTTGGACTTAAATTTAAGGCAATGTGGAGTCACTGACCAGTTCCAAGCAGGAAGGCATGTGGTCAAATTTGGAACAATCACTGGTAGCAGTGTGGAGGATGGGGGAGAAGCATACAGGTTTTCAGAATAATCCAAATGAGGAGGAGGAAGAAAATTCAAATAATAGCAATACTCATGACATGGAAGAACTACTGTAAACATTTGGAATTCTGGTGGAAGGTAACAGAGAAGCCTTCATGAGTCTGGATTGAGCAACTAGGCATCTAATGCTGAAATAGATAATACAGGAGTTAGATAATACACATTTTTGATGGGAAATGCCATACTGGGTCAGCCTGTAATTATTCGTCTAGCTGAGTGAGCATTCCCAGGAGTGGGAAGCAGTTTCTCTCAAAGCTGTAACTGCAGGGGCAGACAGAGATATGCTGAGCAAAAGCATTGGAAGTCAAGAGTCCTATGCATGATGAGGTCCAGCTCTGAAGCAAAATAGTGATGTGAAAACAGATAAAGCTCAGAGGTCAGAAAGATCACACAGATGGGAAGTTGTAGAGTCACATTTGAACTGGGATCAGTGTGACTCACAATCTTGTGTTCTTAAACACAACCCAATGCCAAACCTCGGAAGTTGTTTCCTTTCTATGATGTTCTGGGATATAGTTTTCTGATTAAATTTTACCACTCGGACAAAAGCATAATTTTTGTTTTGCTTTGATATATGCTCATGAGATAGCTATAGAAGAAATACATTTGAACATTTGATTCCAAGCGTAGTCAGAAAAACCCAGGTCTTGGTTTAGATCAAGACATCTTACAGTTCTTATATCTTCCATACAATATTTGTTATTTTGGAAGACTTTCCTATTTTATTTTTCTCTTGATTATTTCAACTACAGATTATCCTGCACCACATGTATATAACAAAAGTGACAGTGATGATTTTACTATTTATCTAAATCCCATCTTAAGGTATCGCTGAACCTAGTAATAAATTGTTCACATAAAAAAGACATTTATATAAAATAGAGAATAGAAAAACAATAGAAAGAATCAACAAAACCAAAAGTCGGTTCTTTGAAAGGATCAACAAAATCGACAAACCACTAGCCAGACGGACAAAATAAAAACAGGAGAGGATGCAGATAACCCAAATAAGAAATGAAATGGGGGACATTACAACAGGCCCAACTGAAATAAAAAGGATTATAACAGAATATTATGAAAAACTATACTCCAACAAATTTGAAAACCTTGAGGAAATGGATTCATTTCCAGAAACACACTACCTACCCAAACTATCACAAAATGATGTTGAAAATCTGAACAGACCCATAACAAGAGAAGACTTTGAAAAGGTAATAAAAAAGGATATGTCTACAATTTTTCTTTTAAAAAATCAATAATTTATTATCTCTATAAAACAAACAAAACAAAAACAAACTGTGCCGTTGAGTCTATTCTGACTTTTAGAGATAGAGACCCTATAGGACAGAGTAGAACTGTCCCATAGGGTTTCCAAGGAGTTGCTGGTGGATTTGAACTGCTGACCTTTAGGTTAGCAGCCGAGTGCTTCACCACTGAGCAACCAGGGCCCCATTATTTCTATGATAAACATAAAATAGACAACAGATTTTGACTTTGGAAAAGTGAGACATTTAGCAACTTTCACTCATTTATTTATTTAGCAAATATTTGCTGAGCACCATTCACTGTGCAAGATACCAGGGAAAAAATGGAAGCAGAATCTGACATGGGCCCTTCCCTGATGGATCTTTCAGTATCGTGGGGAAAAATGACAGTGTTCAGATAACCACATAAATACAGACTGTAACTGTGGATGTTCTATAAAGGGGAGCTTTATGGTACTGTAAGAGTACATATTACAGAAGACTTGACTCAGTCCAAAAAGTCATTACTTTTCCTCCCTTCCACCCTTGAACCACCACAATCTTATTTCAACAGCAACCAAAGTGATGTTGCTAAAACTGGAATCGAATCATGTCACTTCGTTGCTCAATGGCTCTCTATTTCACTCAGAATGAAAGCTAAGTCCCAAGGCCTACGGTTGCCTCTCCTAAATATTATTTTTACCACCTCCCCCTGCACTCACTGGCCTCTTTGCTGACATGCCTGGCACGGTCTCACCTCAGGCCTTTGCAGCAGCCTGAAATATCCTCACCCAGGTATCTACGTGAGTTGCTCCCTCATTCAAGTCTTTGTTCCAGTGACAACTTCTGAACGAGCTCTGCTCTGGGTATTCTAAACTGGACCCCCTGGCAAGCCCAATCATCCTTACCTTGCTTCATTTCCTGCTATAGACTTAACATATTATGTAATTTGCATAACTATTATATAAATTTATTGTCTAACTTCTACTAAGACAAAAGCTCCAAAAGGGCACTGCTGTATCTCCAGTGCCCAGTATATCTGACACATGGTCAGTATTCAACAATTATTTATGAATGAATAAATGAATGGCCTATCTGAGAAAGTAATGATGGTGTTGAGATCTCATGGTGGAAGAGTGAAGAATACAATGTTTTAAAGGGAATGGTCATAACTCAAAACAGTAAAGATTTTATAAAAGTTCATAGATTTACTGTATCTGGAGCTAATAACAAAAATGTTCAATCAATAGAATTTATTCTCTTCTTTCATTCTCCTCTTCTGGTTTTATAACACAAAATCAGGTATAAGATAAGTGGTACCATGGGCACTTCCCCAAGAGGCTTACTTTGTTGTCTCCTGCCCTCTGCTATGCTACTTGAAGATGTTAATAAGACTTCAGAATTCTTCCGCTTATCCATTAGCTACACACCACATTTCCTTGTTTCTTGCTCAGAAAAAAAATAAAAAGATGTCAGGAGCTCTTCTCAGGTAAAGAACAGATAAAAACTGAACTATTATACAAGCAATATTGCATGAACTATGCTTCAATGTAAATATCAAACTGATGGGACTAATTTCATTACCAACAGCTATACGGTTAACTAATTTGGACATGAAAGAGTTTTAATTCGTGTTTAATTGATTTAAGGCTGAATCAGATCACCAGAAGTCTCACAGCCAAAAGTCTTGTAATGTGTGTAGCCTGGTCTCGTCTTGCATCACAAATTTCAGGGGTAAGGAAAACACACAGACACATGTGCTCACACATGGGCAAATTCTGTAAGCAGTTGGAAAATGGCCTACCTAACGCCACTCTCGCAGCTGAAGCATCGTAATTAATCCAGAAGGAGACCCAGGAGAGGATGGTGATCAGGATGGAAGGCATGTATGTTTGCAGGATAAAGTAACCGATGTTTCTCTTAAGCTTAAAGCTGAGAGACAACCTGGGATAGGAACCTAGAAAGACAGTTTTAGAACATCATCATTATCAATCAATATTTATAAGATATCTTCCTTTAAACAAAACTCCAGCAGTTTATCTTCCCTAAATTAAATTTTAGCTTTTGGTGAAAGGCACTTACTTCCCTTTCTTCTGCAAAAGTAGTTTGAGAGCACTGGGTTTCTCATTATCAGGATGCTCAGCATTGAATATATCATGTGCTCATCAATAATCAAAAGAACCTCAGTTCTTAGCTACCCAGCATCATATAACTGGATTAAAGACAGATATTCTCTGCAATTGTGGATAACAAGACCATTTGGGACAGTCTCTTTCTTCACCCCCTCGATTGTTTTCCTCAGTGAGTTCATCTCGAAAGTTTTGCTGTATACAGAATAAGGCTGCCTTCTTACATCATAATAAAAGAAAACGCTTCACAAGCCACAGGATGCATTTTAAATACAGAATCAATGCCAAAACTTAAGGTGGTACAAGAATCCCCTGAAATTTTGTGTAGGTTTTTGTGTGTACGGGTTTTTAAAATAATTTCATCACTTTAATCAGAGTTCCAAAGGGATCTCTAACCCACTAAAAGGTGGAGAATCCCTGTTCTTGAACAATATTTGTGGGAGATGTAACAAACAAATCAGCTTCTTTACGGCTAGGTTCTTTGGTTGTGGGGATCTGGGGAATTAGCAGGGAGAAGACATTCTCACTAATTAAAAGGAAGCCTTGTTTAGCCAAGTTGGACCAAACCAAGTGTGTTTATGTTAAAGTAACAATATTTTAAGTAGGAACTCTTTTCAATAGGGTCTTCGGGCTTTGGAATACCTCGAACTTTGGAAAAAAAATTTTTGTTGTTATTTTCTTTAAAGGTACTTCTTTAGAGGCTACTTCGGATTCTTATTAAATCACACAGCTCTAGCTTCACATAGTATGCAGAAACACAAACTGGTTGAATCCTTTGCAGGAGGGCAATTCAAAACCTACAGATACAGTATTAGCTATTTCTGTGCCTGGGGATTTATTTCAATAAGAAAAACACAAAGAAGCCTATTCCTGTAGGCTTATTATCTTTTTTCTTAAATAAATGTTTAGTAAATGATAACTTTCTGGGCTTTTTTGTTAAGAAAAATATATAAAAATTGTGCTGATGAAACCAAGTCTGACAATCCAAAATCTCAGTACTGAAATAGTAAAGACGGTGAAGTCATCAGAATAATCTTAAGATCTAGAAGGGGTTTTAGTTCCAAAACAGAAGGTAAGACTTCTTAAAGAAATCCCTACCCTTAGAGGAAAATGCAAAATCCCACCACCAGACCATTTTTAGATAATTCCTTCGCGATCAGACTTCAGCGGACTACCACTTGACTATCTCTAGTATGTTTCAGAGGATTATGATCAATTCCGTGGAAAGCACAAAGTTGGGGGAACCAGGATTCCAGCTATTTCTGACACCTTCAATCTCTGCCTTTATGACTCCAGAATTTACCTTTTTCTGACCTCAAAGAAAGTCCAAACACCTGGCAAGTTGAGAGAAGTGAACTGGAACAGACGGTGTCACATTCACCCCTCCCTACGAGAAAGCTTCTAGCCAGGCCCTCTGACTCAAGTCTTCATTTCTCTTTCTGTATTCTGTCTCTAACAGTTAATCCACTCTCTGCCAAATGAGAGACACATAGCTGACCTAGCAGCTTTGCTGTGGTTGTCTTCTGGAAAATAATTGGATGGGTTCAGAACTGGGGCTGCAGGCTTGATGGGAAATTGAGGGGTTTTGGCAGACCTAAGTCATCTAGAGTCCCGTTATTCCCTGGTACCCAGGGAAGTAACCTCTCTTGACAAAATACAATGAAGACCCTTTTCCCTTAACCCTCCTCCCTGATACAAACCTGTGGAAAAAACAACCTTCTTGGTGATAAGTTTGTAATCTACGATAGAGAACTGTGGAAGTTCAATCTTTGTGACTCCCGTTACTGCATTATCATCCCCACGCCAGTAAAACTCAATGTCATCAGTTGTGTATCCATCTGTAAAATAAAACATATACAAAAACACACCGATAGACAAAACAAACAAAACAGAAAGAATTCTTATTTAGAAGATGAACACTATAAATAATAAAAGCTGCAGCTTACTGACAGACTATTATGTGTTAGATACTATGCTAAGCACTTGGAGTATATTGCTGCATCTACTCCTCACAACAAATCTATGGGAGAAGTATTATTAGGTCCACATAAAGCAACTAAGGCTTAATGAGATTAACATCTTGCATCAAGTCTCAAAACTAGAAAGAAACATATTTGGGAGTTGGAACTAGGTTTATCTGATTATGAATCTTATTCTCTTAAGCATCACATAACCCTGGACTGTACTCTAAGAGAAAAGAAGAGAAAAATCTTTCACATTATCAGCACTGCACTGAAAGTTATAAAACTTCCCTCAAATATAAAATATCTGAATTATATGTTTGGGTTTCAAGTCAAAAAAGAAGTGATTATAAAAAACCACAGTTATCAATTTTTTTATATTCATATATGTGATTTTGCAGAATACCTAATTAAAAATATATATAATTCAAAAATATAATTCCAATAGCTTCTTAGGTAGTAAGTATAAATGTATAGCATGCAATGTAAATGCATGGTGCCTTTAGGAGACATGATTCCATTCATTCAGCAATTATTTATTGAGCACCTATTATGCTTATTAGTGCACAGTAGCTGAGGATAGGATTCTGAATAACAAAGACAATTTCTCTATTGTAATGACACTTTCAATCCATGGGGCAGAGCAGAACTTTAACAAATAGCCACATACATACTCTTAACTAGTAAGCACGTATATAATTGCAATGAATAAGCATACAATGGATTGCAAACAGTGCCATAAAAGGGAGCATGCAATGAAATCCAGTGTATATTAGTAATATTTTACAAACTCACCACCCCACAAAATAATAAAAAATTATACATTACATATGTGTATCACATTTATCTCTTCAAAGAACTTTTGCCTCTGGATAGTTGAATCTTTCCAAACCCAGGAGGCAGACAGAACAGATATTGCTTCCCCAATTTAAAATCAACAAACCAAATAAAAAGATTGCCTAGTAACTAGTTAGTGTGACACCAAGGACTAGAATGCCAATCCTTTGACTTTAGCCCCAGATTGTTTCCAATAAACTACGTTTCCTCCAAAGAAAGGGAGTGAAATCTCCAAAAAAGATGGAAACAAATGATTTTCTCAAAGGAGGATTCCCTCAATTTGAAAATCCACATTAACCATAGCACAGCTCAGACAATGATTTAACTTTTCTAGAACTCTACAGCCCTGTTTATTCATAAGACAAGAGCAGACATCTTTCTCTGATGCAGAAATACAGTTTTTTGGCAAAGTTTTTGAACACTTGACCATCTGGTAACATATCTATAGACTTTGGGTGATAGCTAATGATTTTAAAAAACGCTTGTTTACTTGCTAACACCATAAGCTATACTGGAATAAAAATTATGGAGATTTAATTGACTATATATCATTTTAATAGTATGATCTAATTTAGATTTCATTGCTTTGGCATAACGAGTCTTGCCTCACATAAAGCTTTGATTTAAAGTAAATTTTAGGTATTAAGGGAATGGCACAGAAAGAAAATTCTCAGAAAAGAGCTCCTCACCACCATTAATATTCTCTAATTCTAATAAGTGAGGTGTCTCAAAGGATAACTGTACTTTTTTCATGGTTTCAGCTTTTTTCATGGCCACGGGAACCCTCAGTCCAGGACCTCATCTCAAATGTAATTTCACTTCTCACTGGTTCTTTATACACACCTTTTGTTTATGAAATAGTTTAGAGGCAATAACAATTCTACCTTTGAAACGCATTGCAAAACTGAATTTGTGGTATATAAATATGAACCAATTGTATTTACGAAACAAGAAGTTTATTGCTTTACAGGAAAGCCATTTTAACACAGATTCTCCTTGGCTTTTCCAAGATTCAAAATAATATGTAGTTAATTCTAAAACAACAGCTACTATTTGAGTTAGTCAACATTATGCAGTTATGATGTATTATGTGCTAGACACTTTTTAAGGCAGATCCCTTTATATAGAAAATTAAAGCCTTAAAACCCAGGACCCTAATGTCCCTGGGTAGTACAAATGGTTTGCACTTGGCTGGAAACTGAAAGGTTGGCGGTTAGAACCCAGCCAGTGGCACTGTGAAAGATTAGGCCTGGCGATCTGCTTCCATAAAGATTGCAGTCAAGAAAACTCTATGGAGCAGTTCTACTCTATAACACAGGGAGTCACTATAAGTCAGAATCGACTCAAGGACACAAGACAACAACAAGAATCCATTAGAGATTTTTTATTCAGCAAGTTAGGGATAGGGTTTGGGGATCTGAATATTTTTAATAAGCATCCCAGATAATTCTATTGTAGGTAGAATAGAATTAAGAACCATTTGCCTAACAGATAAAGGAGAAGAAGATGATGATGATGATAGTAATTGAAATAACTGTAGTTATTTATTGAGTGTTGTCGTTGATTTTACTAGGAACTCTACTAAGCAGTTCTGTTTGATTATCTCATTTAATCCTCACAATGATCATTTCATAGATGAGCAGTTTTTATATACATTATGTTAAATATTGAGCACCTTTGCTGAAAGTTAATTATTTCTATCTTGGTTTCATGGTTGAGAAATTAAATAACTTGCTAAAGATCACACATCTTGTAAGTGGTTGAGTAAAGAATTGATGTCATGTCTATGTTACAGAACCCAAAGCCAGCTTTTTTTCTGCTGCACCCTACCCCTTTGTTATTGATGAGTGTGTTTCTGCTCCTCCAGCTTCCTTTCTTATTTTTCTTGCTCAGTATTTACCATCTTTTGTTCATCACTACAAATCTTATAACAGAAGCTCTCTGCAGGCAGTGGCATGTGAATATCTATGGTATTTCAATAAGATTGTGTAGAAGATTCCTAACAGTTGTTTAGTAGACAGAAACATAATTTTTAAAATATGTTTCCACTCTTTTATTTTTAAGCAATTTTTAAAAATTGTGTTGAATATATAACAAAACATTTATCATTTCAACATTCCTAACATGTACAATTAAGTGACATCAATCATGTTTATCATGTTGTTCAACCATCATCATTATCCATTTCCATACTTTTTCATCACCCTTAACAGAGGCTCAACAATGTCTCTTAATCAAAGAGTCCCCCTTTTCCCCTCTCTCCTGCTTGCCCCTGGTAACTGCTTACACTATATTTCCTATAAGTGGGATCATACACAATATTTATCCATTTGCGACTGACTTATTCAGCATGTTTTTAAGTTTCATTCAAGTTGTAGCATGTATCAAGGCTTCATTTTTCCTTATGGATGAGTAATATTCCATTTTATGTATGTACCAGATTGTATTTACCTATTCATTTGGTGATGGACATTTAGGTTGTATCCATCTTTTGACTATTGTGAACACTGCTGCAATGAACATTGGTGTCCAAGTGTTTGTTTGCCTTCCTAAGCAGAAGTATTATTAAGAACTACTTTAATCAAAATGCCGGATATTTGACACAGTGCTTGTTAGGCATTACTTGACAAGACTACGGGCACTTGGTAAATATTGTTGAATTAATAAGTATTTAATACACATGTGGATTTGGACTTATGGTTGCTTATCCAGATGCTTGGCACTGTGAAGGTATTCATTGTGTTTACATCTCTGTCTCTTGCTCCCTGCATGGTGCCTGACACATAGTTAAAATCAAATAAATATTTGCTGCATGAATAAACAAACACTCAATGATAATGGAGCTCTTAAAACTAATCCAAAAGTTCTTCATCATATATTTATTTCTATGTAATACCTGAGGAAGTTACCTAACCACTCTTTGTCCTCCATTTTATCATCTGTAAATTGGGATAATAATAATAGCTATTTCATAGAGTTATCATGCAGAAGAAATGCATTAGGACTTGTAAAATGCCTAGAAAAGTACCTGACGGGTAATGCTCAAAATGTTAGTGAACAGGTTTTTAAATAAGAATAATTAAAACTTAATGAAAAACATATTTAGCTATATACCATCTTGTTGCTATTTTATGAACGTATATAAGCATTTGCACGATGGGAAATTTAGCTATTTAATAGCACTTACAGAACTCTCAAAATTGTTTGGAAATTGATAATAAAATATTTGAAGGTTATTTTGATGTCTAGGATTTTGGATTATGACACAAGGGAGCAGCATATATCATATATGCTTCTTGGCTATTGCTGGTTTTAAAAACCCAATCTCCTTTCCTTCATTTTGGGTTAACCAAGTATAGAATGTGGCAAATGGAAAGCAAATGTATGCTCCTGCATCATCGATTTCTGAAGATGAAAGACCAACAATCCATGACAGTGCCAGGGTGTTCAAGCTCAAAAGCCTGCTCAATATACTGTGTAGCATTAGCTTAAGCAGACCTAGTTTTCTTCCTTTTCTTTGAATCTTCTCTAGAGGGATATTTAACAGTCTCTCAAATTTATTAAAAAAATAAAAGAAAACATATGCAAATATACATGACCTAGCTTTTAGAGTATTCATAATAATAATATGAATGAAAAGTAATTAGATTTCTTTTCAAAGATATCAGAAGGAGGAAACGCACTGAAGCTCTTCACTAATTATCTGCAAATTAAGCTCATCTTTTATATTTTATTCATGGGATTCCAGAAACTGAGTCATTAAATTATTGTGTATTGTTATCATTAAAAACATAACCCACATAATAAATTCAGATGGCCTCTGAATAAACCAAACTGCACGTTTATTAGAGTTTACCTGGAGAAATCAAAACTATATGAAATGCTACAAGTCTCTGATCAGGGAGGATAAATATATAATTCAACAAAAGTAGCAAGTATAAAATAAATGAATGACACATATGGTCTTTCTCAATATTGGCAAAAATGTATACAGTATAAGATCTAAGAAGTAGAAATGCCACTTTGAAAACGTGCACATA